ATTACTGATTGAGATTGGACCGCTTCGAAATTGTTATAATTCCAACAATTTTCACAAAGAAAAAATAAAATAAAGATAAAAATAAATAATCATGAAAAGACATAACAATTTGATAACAATATTTAAGAACATGGATATATTAATATTTCAATAACAAATGTTGATACCTTTCAAGAAGAACAAAAATGGCTTACAAACCAGAGTAGGAGAACATAAATTGTCTAACACCTCGTAAATCCTTTAAAATCTCTTATCTATTGGTGGAATTTGTAATGAGATTTGGTATATATACTTTCTCACTCAAATTCCTCCAAATCCAAATAAATGATAAATCCCAAAGAATTTAAAAGGAAATGAATATCTCGGAATTTCATTGGACTTTGAAAAATCTTAATGGAATACTTCTTAATTTTTAGAAACTTCTAAAAAGTCATTGAAAATCCTAATTAAATACCTCAAAATTTTTTAGAATTTTAAAAAGTCCCATTTAAATACACTTAGATTTCACAAATCCTAAAAAGTATTTAAAAGTCATTAGAATTCTCAAAACAATACACCCTCATTATACATGTTCCATTAGATTTATATATCTCAAGGCATATGTTGTGTGCATTAACTTTTAGAACATGTCTTTTCCTCATATATGGAAATTGTGATAATCAAAATGAATTCTCAATTTTTCAATCCATTTATCCCATCAGTTTTGGTCATATGATGTTTAAATGGAATCAACGTTTTCTCTATCTTCATGCATATCTTTTTGTTTATTTTAGTTTTTATGGTAATGGACTTAGTTATGTCATGTTAGTGGTCAAGGCATAGTTTTCTTTCAAAATGATAGGAAATTCTCATTTAATCAAAACAATTGTTCAAATACAAGAGTAGCAATACGCTTATGCCGAAGGCGAGTCCAGAGAGCACTATTAATGATAGTAGGCTAAATACTAGGATAAACTAACAACACTAAAGGCAGTACAAACAAATTGAGCCCTCCAGTCTCCTAAGAGACAATTTAACAGATACTACACAACATCATAATAAGAGAAAAAAAACTAGCCACTGAACTAGCTTAGTAGACCTAGCTAGTCTTCCTTGCCTCTGTTGAGCCCTTTTGTTGCCGAGGTTAATTGTTTCTTGCCATTCTTCCCAAGCACCCGATAGAATACCTCTGTCATGCCTCCATACTCCTTCAAAGACCCAAAGATTGCGCGATTTCCAGAGCCACCACAATATGTATGTAGTGAGCTCTATTCTTGCTTCATCCACCTCAGTGTGCTTGATAGTGCATATAGAGCCCGACCAATCTTTGAGTCTACACCCATGCATGTGAATTCCATCCCATGTAACCTGTGATTTCTGCAAAAATTTCTAAGCTCTTGGACATTCCAGAAGAATATGTTCTACTGTCTCTGCTGCCTCCCCACAACATCTGCACATGATGTCAACTTCAACCCCTCTACTCCTCAGATTTGTGTTGACTGGTAGGATATCATTAATACACCTCCACAAGAAATTCTTTAGTTTGCCTTTGACATGTAGATTCCATGTTCTCTGTCTGACCCCTTGGTTTCTTTTGGATGTACTGCTGCCTTCAGATAGGTCCAGAGAAAGAAGTTTTCTTTGATGAAGATAGTTATAAGAGGATGCAACTGAGAATCTGCCCTTCTTCCCCATCTTCCAGCTCCATTTATCATCAAGTAGAGGATCAAGTGTTTGAATTTTGAGTATTTCTCTACAGTCATCTTCCTCAATCAGCTCTCTCAATCTGAGTTCATCTCATTGCCCATTATCATTTTGGATTAGGTCTGTGACCCAAAGTTTCCCACTTGCAGGAGGATCCTTGAGATGGACGCTCCTTCCTTTTATTCCTAGGATTCGGTTGAAGTCTTGGAGTCTAACAGTTGCACCATTTCTGATATCAATCTGTAGCCCTTCCTTCAGAAGCTCTCTCAGTTTCCATAAAGATCTCCAAATCCAGGAGGAGTTCTGCTTCAATTCTGCTGCAAAAAGTGAAGATGTGGGGAAGTACCTGCTTTTCAGGATTTTTCTCATAAGGAGCTGTGGTTGGGTAAGTGCCCTCCAGAGCTGCTTCACTATCATTGCCTCATTAAAGAGCTTAACATCCTTGAAGCCTAACCCACCTTGCTGTTTGGAGAGTGTCAGTAAATCCACCTTTTCCAATGAAGTCCCCTAGAGTGATCAGCACCTTTGCTCCACCAGAAAGTTGAAAAAAGGCTAGCAACTTCTTTGCATATGCTCAATGGCAGTCTGAAGCAAGTCATAACAAACAGTGACAGAGCTGTAAGCACAGCTTTTATGAGAACCTCTTTTCCTACTGTTGGGAGATGTTTGTTTTTCCAGCTTATCAGTCTATTTTTAACTGCATTAGTCACAAAGCCAAAGACTTCCTTCTTAGATTGTCCAATGCCCAGAGGTAACCCCAAGTATCTGGAAGATTTCTGAACTTGGATTCCTGGAATTACCAGACCCACTTCATTTTGTACTGTCATGCTTGTGTTTTTGCTGAAGAAAACAGATGACTTAGCTACATTCACTTTTTGGCCTGAGAACTTCTTGTATTTGTATAGAATAGATTGAAGGACTTTGCTTTGGTATCTGTCAGCCTTGCAGAAGATTAATGAATCATATGCAAACAGTAAGTGTGTAAGCACAAAAGCACCTCTAGCCACAACAACACCTCTAAATAGTCCTCTCTCCTTCTCAGCATTGATCACTGTAGATAACACCTCAGAGACAATAATAAAGAGGTAGGGATATAGTGGGTCTGCCTGCCTAATCCCCCTCTTAGCAAAAATATAACCACTTGTGCTGACATTGATAATAAAAGAATAGGAAAAAGTAGTCACACACTCCATAATCCATTTCACAAACTGAGCAGCAAAACCCATCTTAAGCATTGTTAGTCTAATACTGCTCCATTCAATCCTATCAAATGCCTTCATCATATCAAGTTTTAAGGCCATGTAAGTATGCTTACCTGTTCTGTGCCTATTCAGGAAATGGAGACCTTCAATGGCTATTATGACATTGTCACTTAAAAGTCTGCCTAGGAGGAAAGCAAATTGGGCCTCATTGATGCAGCCTTGGATACAGTTTCTCAGTCTATGTGCAAGTATTTTGGAAATCAACTTATATACTACTGCACACAGACTAATTGGTCTGAACTGACAGATATTTACAGGGGCAGCACACTTTGGAACCAGAGCAATCAAAGTATGATTCCAATAGGGAAGTAATTTACCTGATTGGAAGAAACTATCCACAACATTGCAAATGTCTGCCTTAAGTAAAGGCCAGAAGTGCTGGTATGCCATCTGTGCCAGGAGACTTCCTAGGGTTCATTGAGAATAGTGCCTGCTTGATCTCAGCTACTTCCATCTGGGCAACAAGGTAGTTGTTATCCTCTACTGAGATGGTTTGGGGGACATTTTGAAGCAGAGTTTCCCCTCCATGGGAGCCTTCTGAGGTGACTAGAGTACTGTAGAAAGCTTCCACATGACTTTCAATTTCCTCTTTAGTTTCACAAACTCTCTGTTGATCAGTGATGAGTCTGCTTATTGCATTGAGCTTCCTTCTCTGCATTACCCAATCATGGAAAAAATGGGTGTTTTGATCTCCTGCCTTCAACCATTGTGTTCTGGCCTTTTGCTTCCAGAACAGTTCTTGTGATAAGTTGGCCTTACCCATTTCTCTTTGTAGCTTATCCAATTCTTCCCAATTCCTTTGGCCTCCTTCCTCCCTCATGGCTTCCAGTTTCATAGATAATGATGCCAGGTGGGTTTTTTGAATTGATCTGAAGTATTTGCTCCATTGCAGCAAAGCAATCCTTGTTTTTTTAATCTTCTCTTTTAGGCTGTAGAGAGGTATGCCCCCATTGTTTTCTGCCCAGGCACTCTGGACAACATCATCCACTCCCTCTCTGCTTATCCACCTTCTATCAAATTGGAATCTTCTTTGGTGAAGTGGCTGGTCAGGTTCAGCTTCCAATAGTAACATGTAATGGTCTGAGGAGCTTTTGAAGATATATGTGGTTTGAGTTTGAGGGTAGGATCTAAGCCAGTCAAGAGATACAAAGCCTTTGCCTAAACTTTCCTCCACAAACCCCTCTTCAGTTCTACTATTCCCCTATGTGAAGTGATGACCTTTGTGGAAGACTTCAATCATGCCCATGTTGGAAATGAAAGTTTGAAATCCCAAACAGCTAGATTGAGACCTCACTCTGCCTCCCTTCTTGTCTTCTGGTTTGGAAAGGTCATTCCAGTCCCCAATGATACACTAGCTATCACCCCAGTTCAGTTTCTTTTGTTCTAATTCACTCCACTGAACTGCTCTTGTACTTCTATCAGTACTTAGGCAGACAAAGGTGGCCCATCTGAAAGTTTCACTGCTCAGGAGTCTAAACTCCACCTCAATGCAGTAGGAGCAGCTTACAATTTGCCTGATTTCCACATCTCTATGCCAAGCCAGTAAAAGACCTCCACATACTCCCCTGGGTTCCACCATTCTGCATCTATCAGCAAAGTCCAAATTCTTACAAACTGTCATAGTGAACATATTAGTATTCTTAGTTTCAGATAAAAATATAAAATGTAGGTGGTGGGTCCTTAAGGACTCCTTGAGTTGCGAAACTGTACAGGCCCCACCCAGGCCTCTACAGTTCCACACCACAGCTCTCATTGTTCACTCTGAGGCCATTTGAGGATGGCCTTCTCCACCTGTTCAGAAGTGTTTTTCAATCTCTTGAGGTCTGATTCTTCTTCTTGTAACTCCTCCTCAACAGTTTTTAGATATGTCCCTCCTTGCCTGCCTCTTTTGAGACTTTGTAACAGAGTGTGATCATCACCAACGTGCTGTTTTCTTTGTAATCTACCCTCCTTATTCCTAGCTCTCTTCCATGTATTCAGTTTGGAAATAGAGGTGTCCTTTTGCTGAGGGGTGGTGTCATCACTGACCAGAATTAGAGCCTTTTGAGTGTGGTGTTAATGGGTCACTATTTCCCCTGTTTTGGTGTAGTCCATATCTTCTTGAGGTGGGGTTTCAACAATTTGCTGCTCAGAGTGTTGTTCTACCTGCTTTGAGGGACTTGGCTTATGTGGAAAGTCCTGTCTTGAAGAGCTGGACTCAACTATACTGAGGTTCTTGAGAGGCTAATGGGGCTCTACTAGTTTATCCATGATAAGTCTACACACATTAGTCCCTGTGGGGACAGGAGAGTTAAGAGTTTGATTGAAGTCTGATGGAATCTCAGGGCCTTGATAAGTGGATCTGCTGCTTTGCCCAGATACATTACTGTTTCTGATTTCAGCTGCTTTCAACCATGTACCATATTTCCCTTCTTTAATCTCACCATTTGCTATGTCCCTAGCCATTTTCTGACAGTCTCTATCCAGGTGTCCCAACATTCCACAGTAAAAGCACAAATTGATGAGTTTTTTATTCTTGAAGGTGACTGTGAGAAGGTCATCTCCTAGCCTGAGGGAGGTACATCTAGGTAGGGCTTTGTTTATGTCCACTGAAACCAGTAATCTGATTATTCTGCCTTCAGCTCCCCCTGCAGTAGTGATACCAACATTGTGGACAGATTTGAATACTTTACCTATCTTGAGACCAACATCTCTGCTCAACCAGTCCATTGGCACATTATGGACTTGTGTCCATATTTTCATCTCTTGGAAGCAACTACCCTTTTCACTTATTCTTTTTCTCCATTCATGTAAGACTAAGTACTGATTTTCGTATATCTAGTTTGTACCCAACAATATTTTTTGCACATCATCCTTACGTTCAAAGATAAACTGAAAGAAATTAGAGGAGATTTCACGAACCTCCATTTCTAGTTGGATTCTCCATATGTTTGCCAGAGCTCGTTTGAGCCCGATAAGAGAGGTTCGACGGTTACCGATTATTTTTCCCACCAAACTTCTGCTACATTCCTCTGCGCTTATCTTAATGTCCGTGTTACCAATATCATTAACTAGACTCTCTTCGCCAGAGAGTGAGAAGTGCTTTAGACGCTGAGCCATTTTCTCTGCTATTCGGGGATTCCCTTCTGGTGTTCCCATTGAGTCTGAGAAAAATCCTAGATTAGACTAGACACTGTGACAATAAGGGGTTTGAGGGATTTGAGATAGAGTGCTATGAGAGTGTGGATAGAGCCTTCAGTGAAGGAATGGAAAGCCCAAGTTGACGGAATTTGCCCTCAGTCGACGGAATCGCACTCCCACCTGAGAGAATTAATCTTTGTCAAGGCATAGTTGAAATATTGGAGTAGGAAAACCTGTTTTGGATACGTCAAATGTTTAGAACTTTGGAGAATTTTGTTTGAAAAATAAGTATATATTCTCAATGTGTCCGTGAGTTTTTTTTAGCACCTATGTTCGAATTTTTTTAGCCTCGGCTATGTAATATTTGACCCCTGGAAGATATTGTTCTTTGGCCAAATTTATTGAGTTTGTGATCGAGCCGAGACTTGATTTAAAAAAATAAAAAATAAAAACTGGAGACCATTCTTCAGAGCCTTTTTATTCCTTACCCGAGAGTTCCAAGTCCACGAAAAATCCAAATAAAACCCTTAAGTCTTAATTTTGATTAAGTATGGGTTTTAAATTACTTCGAGTAGTGAGATAGATTATTAATATATTATATCGCTAAAATGTAGATGTTTGAGAAGTCGAGCCCTCAGCCTACTACCTGTTGATTAGTCTAATCTCGTCTACCTCGTCTGATCAAGTGGGAGTTGATTTAAATACCATGTATGTTAATTTTTATAAATGTTTGGCTTGATGATCTAGGTATGCATGTGAACCGGTAGTCTATGAGGCCTAACTCTAGCCTTTAGAGAGCGCAGTCCTAGTGTGGGCGGCTCTATTCCTGGGGTGCACGGCTCTAGTCCTGGGGCGGACGACTTGTTCCTATCTTTCCTGGTGTGGGTTGATAGGATAGAGGTGTGATCACATGAGCGTGGTTGTGTTTACGGAGGGTAGACTAGTCGATTTGCTTACATACTGCGACCATGATTTTAAGTCATTATATTGATTATACTGCATGGTATGGTGAGCTAAGTTGCTCACCCCCACTATACCATCTTTCAGGTTGAGCTGGTGGCCGTGGCGGAAGACGAGCAAGGTGAGGTCATCTTATCTGCTATATTTAAACTGTTTTACCTGCTTTCGTTTTTAATTATTATTCCTATCTCATGTTAGACTTATTTATTTCTGTTGGAGACTGAAAAATGTTATTTGAGATTTCAAATTTGTGTTTTGGGATTTGGATTATTATGCATGCTTAGGTTTGAAAATTGGATTTGATGGGATAATATTATCATGTTGGTTTTGTTTTAATTACTTCGCATGATGGATTATATGTCGTTAACATGAGATATAAATGTTCGGGATGATTATTCTGTGATTATTCGAGTATCGCCCGTTAAATAAATCTTTAAATTAAGTTTTGAAAATTTAACTCTTATTTTTAAAAAATAAAATGTTATTTTTTACTTAAAAATATCGGGATGTTACCAAGACAATACTTGGGTCCTTTGGCAGCAGAAAATTAGAGACATATTTAGAAAAAATACAATCCTAGCAAGTACTTAAACAAGCTAAAAAATGCGATAACCACTTAACCCACATAGTTAGTACATTTACTTCCAGCTAAAGGAAAGACCGAAAGAGGAACTCCTTGCCATCTTGCCACGTAGTTAGCCTACATTCTAGTTCTTAAAATTGAAAATGTTAGCCTACATTTTAGTTCTTAAAATTCCAACCTTCTAGATCTTAAAATCGGAAATGTTGGCCTACATAGTGTTTTGAGAGAATGGTTCCTTTGAAAATCTCAGGACTTGAGAAAATTCCCTAATTTTATCATTCGACTTGATGGGTACCTCAAAACGAATACATAACTACAAATCAGTTGAATAAATACATGTCCCAAAAACAAAGTGAAGAGGTCCTGAACATAAAATATAAAACCCTTGTATCATGATCTTCAAGATGGGAAGTTTCGTTGTCGTTGTTGAACATATTTTAGTTTTTCCACACAAATTATGTAACAGGACCAAAACAACTATGCCCAAAAATCTTTCTTGCGCACAGTGACACAGATGGAAAAGAAAAAGCAGCCACACACAAACTAATATAAAGCGGATAACATGGAAATTGAGAGACTTAATGCAATCCAAACTTTGTTCAACTTGGCAACACACAACTAAACGCATTAATTGTAAAACCCACTAAACACAACGAAGGGTCTCAACGTATTGAAATCCATCGTTACCCGAATACCTCAAACTACGTGGTGAATTAACACCCGCGAACTCGCACAGCATATCGAAAGTCCCACAAACGAGATTATACCTAACGGCTTTTCCAGGAATCTGCACAACCAAAAACGAACCTTCCTCCTTCTCCCCTCGAACTAAACAAAGTATAGAAAATCCTAAGGGCACCATTATTGGGCAAAGACCACCATTCCGCTTAATACTTGGATAAGCCATTTCAAGAGGCGAAAGATCGACCTCGTACTTAACAAACCACTCAGAATAGTCCCTCCTCATCTGGTACACCTTAAATCGCAAGCTCACGTTGAAATAATGCAAGTGTCCACAAGACTCTCCCAAATAATATCTGTTCACACTCTGTTCCCAGCCAATAGGGGGAATTGGCATTGTCCCAAACAACTGATTATCAACATTGAAATATAGAGAATCATTTCTGTTTCTATCGCTAGTCCAGTGAATGGCTCCATTCCAATACACCCCATTTTCGAAACTTACGTGGACTTGTGGGGTAGGCCCGTGATTTCTCCAATAGCCCGTTTCCGATGAATAAACCTCCAATTGGCAGCCCGTGATACTCGATTCTGATCGGATGCAAATAACTTTGTAATGAGGGGAGTTGATAGGATCAAAAGCCAAGCTCATCCCACATATCCCGCCTCCCAATTCTAGTTTGGGAAGTAGGACAAACTTATTGGTGGTGGGATTGTGAACATAGTACTTCCGATTGATATCACGGCCTCTGAAGCTTGAACAGAGTAAGAGGCCATTGCAAGAGTGAAGGATCTTGATGCCTAATGGGTACTTGATGAACTTCAGTTTCCTTGATTCGAGGCCCGTGAAAGGGACGTATTCTATCCGAAGACGGGCCAGGTAGTGCACACTCTGCAGGAAGAGCCCCGCCGCCGGTTTGGGAATGGGATTGCGCTGGATACTGAATCCTGGATTGGTGATGACACGATGCCACTGCTTTGAAACTCGTTTTAATTGAATGAGTGCCTTTATGGGGAGGCGTAGGAAAATTGCAATTAAGAGATCGTCTATTGAGAAAACAGTTTGAGCTGAATCGGATTCATTTGTTCTTGGGACATTGGGTTTGATTTCCAGGTTTGTATTCATATATTGAGTTGCCATTTCATATGTTTGGTACTCTGGTATTTAAACTCTGTCTGCTTTTGAGTGGGTCACTTTTGGAAGCTTAAAACTTGTAGAGTAAGTCAAAGACGAATGAGTATTGAAGAGGTTTTGATAACTAGGGCAGCTTGAGACATTATTAAACCATCTCTCAGATAAAAGTTCATTATAAAACCATCTCCCTTATTCCATGTTTATAGCTATAGAGAGGAGAAATTTTCTCCTCCAATATCGCCACATCTCCCCGCATATGTCAATACTATTGCGCTACAATTTTTTTTTTTATTATTATTATATATATATTTTTTTTTTTTGTGTAATGTATATTAGTAAACTAGTACGGTACTCGTGCGATTCACGGGAACATTTATTACCTATTTATTTTTTAAACAATATTTTTGTATTTAAATTGTCTCGTGCCATTAAAAATTTCATGAAAATGAAATTCATATGTGTACAACATTATTGATTTGATTCTTTGGCACGTGAAGTACTACATAGGTGTTCGAGTTTACCCAAAATTGCATATTATTATTTTATTAGTTATTAGTAAACAAATTTTAAAAAAATTAAAGGATCTTATTTATTAAACAAAATTAAAGTAGAATTTTTTAGGGATTTTCACCCATTATTTATTTTAAATCTAATTCAAAATTTTAATTAAGAAAAACTGAAAAGAATCATTAGTTACTCTTAGAAATGAAATCTATTTTCCTACCAATAAACCGATTTTTTTATCAAACAAATTGATCTGAATTTTTTAAAACCAAATATAAAAATTATCAATTTTTCCTAAAAATGCAACTGAATTTTCTTAACATTGCACCGATTTTTGTACCAAACAAATTGAATAGAAAATAATTCTAATAAAAAATAGAAATAAATTGTTAATGTTTATGCAACTGTCTCTATCCTAAAGAAAATGATATGAACTTAACTAAAAAAATGATATGAACTAACCAAAATCTCGGTAAAACATGATAAGAAAAACATAAGAATCCAAAAAAATCGATGCATTTAAATTTTGAAAAGTTGCATACAATTTTTCCTAAACAATTGGATAAGGTGACTTTAAGTATCAATGATGAACCTCTTTTGTTACCAAAAAATTTGGACACAATTTTGAATGTAAATCTCGTCCAAATATCAGTTTTATTTTAAAATAAAAAATGCACATGGCTTTATCCAATTTACACAATTTTTTTGAAAGAAAAAATTATTCAATGAGATTTGAAGAATTGGTTAAGAATTATACAACTATTTGCTTCCTAAATTTGGATTCAATTTGCACGGTTTTATATTAATTTGTATTAAGAATTGTTTTCATAAATAATTGACACATTTTTTGCATAAGAATCTCCAAATTTGTTACAAAAAAAGATATGATTTAAATTTTGGTAAAAAATTAAAATATGATACAAAAAAATGGGATTTAAATTTTTACGTAAAAAACTCCAAATTTGTTACCCAAAAAATAGGATTTAGATTTTGTAACTAAAGATTCAAATGTGTTTTTTTGAACTTTCCATTAATAGTAAGTCAAATATTATATTTATTTGGTCAAACTTTCTATTAATGTGTTAGAAGATTTAAATTTTTCCATACAAAACTCCAAATTTGTTACCCAAAAAATAGGATTTAGATTTTGTAACTAAAGATTCATATGTGTTTTTTTTAACTTTCCATTAACAGTAAGTCAAATATTATAATTATTTGGTCAAACTTTCTATTAATGTATTTTTCTAACAACCTCTTTATATATATATATATTTATATTTATATTTATATATATATATAGATATAGATAGATATAGATATATTTATTAGGTTAAATAACATACTTATTTATCTATTGATTGATTGATGTATTATAACTTTATCTTAGAATTTTTTTGAACATCATAGTATTATATAAATAAACATATATCATGATAAAACGAGTAAATTTCATTAAAATGAAATGTTACAGTACAAGTAGATAGAAAATACATAAACAAACACAACATGATTAAAATTCGACGATTTTGCTATTAAGCCAATAGTTGGCTCCATAGTGGAGCCAACCTTCTATTTACAACAAGTAAACCATACTATATTAATAAAATTATATTATTTATTTAAGTAATATGAGAATATGGTATGATTTACTTGTTGTAAATCGAAGGTTGGCTCCACTATAGAGCCAACTATTGGCTTCATAGCAAAACCGTTCGACTCCAATGACTTTAAAATTTACGAAACAAATTAATAATAAAATTTTTATTATAAATAATATGTGTAAAATTATTTTATTCTATAAAATATATTTTTAATTATAAAAATTAAATATTTGTAAAACAATATATCTAATTAAATTATATTTTTAATATTAAAATAATCTATAACTATAAAAAGAAATCAACTATTTAAGAAAAAAAACATCTTTACTAAATGTAGAATACATTTAATTATTTAAAACTCGTGTCTACATATTAGCAAAAGGGAAAAAAACAACTCGAAATTCTTTTAATAGAATAACAGTTTTCTATTAATTATAATACATTATGTTGATGTCCAATTTGGCTCTGATTAAGTAAAGGATAAATGAAATAATAAAGTGCGGCCCGATAACCAAGAAGCCAAAAATACGCAATAAATAAATGAGCAAGAAAAACAGGTACTCCAAGTTGCTCGTCTAGAGGCCGACCGGACCCCTCAGAATGTCGAAACCGCCCGCTACCGAGCCGAGCAGAATTCGAAGTGATCGATTAATACGGATATCGCAAAAACGTCGCCTCCGGTCGACACAATAATTGCTGACAAGGCAGACGTCAATCGAAACCGTCAAAAGTGATAAGTGGACCACCCAATGGGCCACCCAATTATCCCTTTGCATTAAATGCTAGATATACTATTTTTATTTATTATTTGTTTGGTTTAAACAACTTGTAGAGGGGGTATATATATGTGGGCTAGAGCATGAAAAAGCTCTCTCTCTCTCTCTCTCATCTTGTAAGAGAACAACATACATACATTCATGAATATATACAAAATGCAGATATTTTTATGCTTTTTCTTTCGGATTCAATCGAAGATCCCGAATGAGAGTTGATACAAAAACGCATATCAACAAGTTCAAGTTGTTAAATACGTACCCATATGTTGGAACAATGTTAAAAAAACTATAAATTCATTTAATCAAATAACAATTTTTTAATAATACAGTCAAACATATAATACCATTATGGTAAATATTTGAACACATAATGGTCAACATGTGCAATTGACCAATTATTAAGGGTACAAGGGTCATTACACAATTTTCAACCCCTGGTGGACCCCACCCAACCCAACACATCTCTCTCTCACCCCTAACACACTAAAAACACATTGCAAATCACACACACACACACGCGCCGCACACACACACACACATACACACACACGATCGGTAGCAGCCCATCAACACCAGCCCGTCAGCTCACATTCGTCGTATGCCACCACGAGACCGCCGTTGGCACCAGAGATGACCGGCACCAGTAGAACCGCTATTGCCGTCTGTCGCAAAATTAATGGCCGCCAGAGACGCTCACCGTCAGCCATCGCCCGAAGCTTCACGCCGGTAACGGGCGGTTCTACTTTGATGCAACACCGCTCGGTGGAATACCGCCGCTTCGGGGCCGCGCAACCCATCACCGGCCTACCAGACGCCTTCGAGATGGTCGCGGAAAGCTTAAGGACCTCCGCTGCCGTCATCACCGAAGTACACTCTGTTACTGGACGACCGACGATTGTCAACTCAACATTCACGATGAGACGAAATTGTTGCTTGTGAATGGGAGAGAAATTGTACAAATCTAGTTGCAGTAAATTTTGGGGCATAAATGCAACAGCCCGCTACTTAGGGCAAATTTTTCGCAAATTTAAACTCTTTCGAAAACTGTTTATAAATTTTTCGAAATCATTTGCAAACTATCTCGGGATGCTGCTAAGGACTTTTATGCTTAAAAATCCATTTCTTTAATCTAGGTCTAACATTTGGTTTAGACTTAAAGAAATCAGGTTCATATTTTTAACGAATCATGCATATTAGTTTGGACCCGTTCGTACTGGCGAACCGGGTAAAATTATTTAAGTCTGGAAATAAAGTCATGCATGTTCGTAAGTAAACACAACATAGCGGAGGTCTAAAGTGCGTGGAATTATTTAGTTATACAAAATGATAACAAATGTCCCGGGAACAGCTTTCGTGCGGAACTCACGACCACCACCACCACAGCTCGTCTCACGCCTGCCCGCCGGCCCTGCCATCTGAAAATATAAAGTGGGGGTGAGTACGGTCCACTTGTACTTCATAAAAACCCATTCTAAAGTAAACAACAATATTAATAATGATATCACAGAGCCGGTATATATAAGTAAACTGAAACTCCCGGAACTCTCTGGCCGGTAACTCCCGGAACACTCTGGCCGGTAACCGTGTGCACACTCTGGTGGTATAACTAGAGCGAACTGGGCCACCACCAGAACTTAGGGAAGGCAAACTTGGCCTTAACCCAAAGTAGATAAAACTCATATACATATCTGAACGTGATATCGACTATTAAACTCAATGTATAACCCAGACTGGGTCCCCACCTGACCAGTTTTGAAAATGGGTAAGTGCGGCTGTGCTGGTAGCTGACTCCTCAAGCTACATAAAAATATAAGCAAACAAATATACTAAGTACTATGCTCGTCATATGCTTAATAATATGCTAGGATGCTCTACTCTATCATATTACTCATCCGGATATAAAGGACACCTCTAAGGGTTCACTAAAATAATTCTAAGTCTGGAAATTATACTGATATGCTTAACTGATCTGGTTTGGCTCGGAAAAAATACTTAAATTTCGGAATAAGACTCAGACCGAAAATCACGAACCAAAACAGACTCGAACCGCCGACTAAACCGGCCGGTTCGCTAACTGACTGAACCGGGTCGGGCAGGACCGGACTGGGTTGGACCACTGGTTCAC